AATGCAAGACTTTACGTAAAAATAATATATATATATATATGTATAATATATATATATATATATATATATATATATATATAATATATATATAATATATATATATATATATATATATCTTTCACGGTAGTAATACTCGCAGCTACTCCTCCTGATTTGATTCAACACTCGATTCTTAATCTAATGTGGCATCGAGTTTTTTTTTTTACATACATCAACAAATTATTTAAATCTATACTTAATATCTTATATCGAAGTCGGTGGAAAAGTGAAAGTAGTAAAATAGCATTTTTCCCAGGTACTTCTTTGATAGAGGATATAAACAGTAGGAGTTGCAAAGGGTGGTACTACCAGCCTACCAGTACGAGCAAAGATTTCTGTTCCTGTTGTCACACTTGAGCCTCGAATCTAGCACGTGTAATTACCGATGGCTTAGATACCACAGGCGTCGAAAAGACAACCTTCACAGCACTGAAAAGTTTCTGACTATTGACTAAACAATAATAATCTATTAGTGAAAAATTACTACGTTCGATCACTATCTTAACATTCAGTAAATATTTATCTATTTAACAACTGCGATAAGACAATATTGATCTTATATACTTAATATTAATCGCTAGATAATATAGGACCACATAAACCTTGCTCCAATGATTCTTTTATTCTTAAACAGAATCTTTATTACGATACAATATACAATAATAAAATATCGCAATCTGTGGTTATTTTTTTCCGCCACCTATTTGAAAAATAATAAAAAGAAATACATGAATAAAAATCTAAATTAGTGAAGACATTAAGTAGCTAATGATTTTTTTCTCAGTAAGCAACAGAAATATATTTATTTCATTAAACTATACACAAAAATATTATAATTACATATTTAACATGATTCACTTTACAACATAATTGGAATGTGTTAACTAGTATTTACAATATAGTAGCCCTGCCGTGTGCAAGTGTGACAAAATGCAGATTTTTTTTATAGGAAGTTCTAAGGATGCCCAGGTGGCCGTGCGACATATATGTATGTATATATGTTTTATATATAAGTATATCACATGAAATTTTACTGTCGTTCAAGTATGCCCATTGAATCCCTTGCAGAAGCACGATTGACTGAAGAGTCGATAATTTCTTTCGTTCATTACCATTAGGATTATCTTTTTGTTAAAATGAGAGCAAGGCTTCAGTGGTATGTGCTTAAAAATAATCGCATCTAGTATTAGAAAAATAGCTTTACTTATTTCGACAAAAATTGCCTGCCCTTTAACCAATATTTTGTTAACCACCCTTTGTACTGTTTTCAAGGCATCTTGCTTACTGTTTCCCTGCGCTTGTACCCACCAACAGGGGTAATAATTCTTCATGGATACATCTCTAAAACTTCAACATCAAATATAGAAAATATATGTCATTATGTTTATATATTTAGATACATTTTATAATACATATATTATGTATATATGTAAATTATGTACGTCTATACTTGATTCGTTTGCATAGGTATTTTTTGAACCAGAGCTCCTTAACTTGGTCCAACACCTAAGCAGTATATTAGCTCTTAATAGGTACTTGAGGTCCACATTGACAATAAGGAGCTCTATCTTGATTTTTGAGATATAGCAATAGATTAATTCATGGCAAAAGTGCCAAGTGAATTTATCGTTTCATTTTCTTTTAGCATGAAGCATTTCCATGAGAAGAGTTTGAGTTGGTGCTCCACCGCTACAATGTTTTTGATAAAGATGATCTTCTCCCCTGCTCGCTACCACGTGGATTCCTGGTAATACTGCTAGCAGCTTGTTAAATTTATCCTATTATAAAAAATTTAATTTATATGTGTTAATAAAATATACAAACTTTTACGAAAAATTAAAAAAAAAAAAAGAATACTAATGTATATATGAGATCAACATACCGGTATAGAAGGATAACACGTCAATGTATAATCCAAAAGAGCTTGTTGAACTTGTTCGTGACCTTCTTGTACATGTTTCTTGTTAACTAATCCACGAACTTCTGTATATTTAAAAAATAATGAATCAATCACTTTATATATCAATGATAATAAAATTTGATACATAAATATATCGATATATAGAGATTTGAATGTAAGGAAAATTGAAAAAAAAAAAAAAGACATACCGTGATTGAGCAGCATCAAGAATTTCATGCATATATAGTCCGAAAGATCGAATTTGAGTTCTTGAAGTTTGGATGATAAATCATTGAAAAGATCTGCCAAGGAAGGAACCCCGAGTAGGCCGAGACAAAGGAGATCAAACTTTTGACCATTATGAAGCGTAGTCTCATCAGGTAGATTATTGTGTAACCTTTGATGAAGATGATCGAGCACCAACATATCCGACCAGGAGTGCTGTAGCAACTTCATTTGGTCATCAACCTGTCCAAAAAAATATTATAAATTATAAAAACATATAGAATATATATATTAAATTAAAATGGAAGAATTTTACTTATTTTTCGAATATATCCAATTATTATCAAATAGATTTTCATTTATAGTATGGAAAGATTTTGAAAATAATAATTAATAAATTAAAAAAAAAATTTACAAATTTGAATATTAAAAAATAACGAAAAAAGCATAATTACTTATAAAAGAAAAATGATTTTAATTTGTATAAGATACAATTTATTAAAAAATAAAATATTGATATATTGCTTCATATTGTTTGCAAACTATAAAAGCAAGGTATCGATGAAATTATGATAATACTTTTTATATAAAATTTATAAGTACAAATATAATAAAAAGTATATAATCAGTTAAATAAATGATTTATGATTAACATGGGCCTGCTTTAGGATAACCGCCATAACCCAGAAACGTATCTTGCTATGACCTAGATATGAGGCGATGCTTGAAATCATTCAGTGATTGTGCAATGCTGTTGGTTACCTCACATCCCCGTTCATACCACCAACAAGCCAGCACGGAGTTATTTATCGGTAAGAACTAACTTCTCTTGAAAAATATTTTCACCGATGGTTAAAATCAATAAAATTTTGATTATATTATATAATATACGCGTTTAATATACATTTATGTATGATACCAAAATCAGTTGATCTAATTTACACAAAAAAATAATCGATACTTAATTCGATAACCAAATTTAATTGACAAATACCATAAAATTTAATTTTAAAATAATCAAAAAATAAATCACATGTATGCAGATCGAAAAATTGCATCGCTAATCCTGCCATAAGTTTTGTTATAATAAATAATAAAATTATATCAATATATAATAAATATAAAAAAAAAAAATTAGGAAACATTATAATCTATGATTAATCTATAATTTATTAATATGTAATGTATTAGTAATATATATATATATAAATGTAATATATTTAAAAAAATATTGACACAAACCTTGAGATCCTTGAAGAATACAGAATTCCTTGCCCAGTCCACCTGAGAGAACAAATTCTGATCGAGCACTTTGCACATTAATTCGAACAAGTCCACTTCACACTGATTGTACGTTTGATTTTGTAACAATCCAAAAAGCGATGCCTGCCACTCGCGATCGTCGACTGTTTGCACAAAGTCTCTTATCATCGGACTAGTTTTCAACGTGGCGGTAGAGGGTGCGGAACCAGTGGCTCCATGAGATTGTGTGGACTGTTCGCCGAAGTTGAAGGTCTTCGGACTCGGGGTAGTGGAATTGGCAGCCCAAAGCTTACTATCCAGGCCAGGGTTGAGATTGTGCAGGTGATTACCAGCAGAAATGTTTGGCTGGGAAGACGGTGCGATCAGTTGATGCTGACCAGCTCCGCTACCAGCTTGTGTCGTGACCAAACCAGCGGCCACAGCTGCGGGGGATGGACTCGAATCTGGAGAAGAGGTTAGACTCGAGACCTGAGGTATTTGTATTTCCTGTTTAATATGCAGGAAAGGCGTTACGGCGGAGGGATAGTTCGATGGGTCACCGAGACTGCCGCGTATCGTTTGCAGTGCCAGCTGCCGTTGTCTCATCATTTGTAGCTTCCGCGCTCGGTCTCTCTTGTACATAGGTCCAAATTTATTCCTACCGCCTCTCATCCGGTCCGCTCGTACGGCTATAACAAAAGCAAACGTACAAAAACGTGAAATTGAAACAACACGGTCATCCTTCGTCTCGAGTCGCAAGACGAATCTGAAAGACGAATCTTTGAATTATTCGAATTTTTTAGCTAACTAATCAAACAGAATGAGGCTCGTTCATTTTCCACTCTTATTCATTATTCATATTTCTTTAACTCTTAATTTTCATTTATTTTCTTTTTTCTTTTTTCATCGCTTCAATAATTAATTTGAATATTTTAATTAATATTACGTTTATATGTTATATTTATATAACAGAAAGATGCTTAATTATCCGAGAATGATAATTGTAAAACTTGATATAATTTGGTGATAAAACGAAGTCACTGCCAGAATTCAAATTTCAAAGGTAATGCCATTCAAGCAAAATGGAAATGAGATCTAATCTTAGCCAAATGGGACAAAGCGTGAACGACTTGTAACTGTCATTGCATTACGTCTTTCAAACAAGTCTACTTACTGTTTCATGCAAATGAGTCTTTACTTGCAAAACATGGATCTCCACCTACGAAACTCGCAGGTGTTATTTGGCATATTGAACGTACATCATTATTGAAAACGAACTTGTTACGACTTGTCAATATAAATTATTTTTTGATCTTAATTATTTTTAATAGATAATCTGTTAATATTCTTCTTTCAGTTATTATTTTACCGATACATTGATTTAATAAAATGATTTCAAAATTATATATATATATATATTCCTTGATACAATATCAAAATTTTGAAACGTTTTAGTACAAAGTTGATTCTTTCAATATAGATTAATACAGTTAGGATAATTTTGAAACTAAGTATATATTATTAGTATAGCATTTTCGAATTAAGATCCATATTGCAAACAATAGATTTTCCAGATATAAGATTCCGGAGCCCGAAAATTGTCCAATAATTCTCAAACAATTCTCGATATGGATCTCCCTTACCGGACGAGGAATTAAAATGTGCAGAGACATAGCATAATCGGTTTGAACCAATAAACGAATTTAATGAAATGGGCGAATAGGCGAGAAT